GAGCTGCGTGCGAATGCACTCCAGGTCCGTCAGTTGGTCTTTCGGCGTCACAGTCGAATCCCCACCCACCTCCCGATCGGCTGTCCTCGTCCCCCTCCCTCGTGGGCGTTGTCAGAGCGCCTCCTGCCCAAGCTGCAGTTTTTGTCTGAGCATGGCTCCTCTCAGGAGGCCTGGGCTCTCATGAATGAAGTGTGGTCTCTCTTTGCCAATGCTGCCGAGCAGGAGCTACTCGACGTTTGCGATCTTCCCACCACCCGCGCGGGGTGGCGAGGAGCTCGCGTGCAGTCAGTCTGGGAGCCGATCGTCCATCGCCGACAGGAGCCCGATGATGGCACGCTGGTGGCTAACTGTTGGCAATGGATGTGCGGTATGCTCAGCGAGTGTTTGTCTCTCACGCGTCGTGATGATGTCGATTGGGTCTCGGGTGAAGGCGCTCACCACCTCCTGGCGGTGCGAGTCCCGCACGCGGGGGAGGGCTTGTGCGCCCGCCTGGACCGCTCGCTGGCGTCAGTACGCCTCCTGCTCACTCAATGGTCTCCGCAGTTGCCTGGGGACAGCGAGTGGTGGGATACTGCTGCTGCGCTCGCGGAGGAGCTAGCCGCGGAATGTGATGAAGTCCAGGCGGAGCACTCCAAAGCCAGAGACCGCTCCTGGAAGGAGTGGCACATCTCGGCGCTCAGCGGCTCGGCCAGGCGCATGCATCGCCTGTCCCGCATCAAGAAGCTGTGGGAGCCCACGGTCTCCTCCTCGGTCCCTGGGTCGTTTACGTCTGAGCCGTGTCAGTTAGTGCAGGAGGAGACCGTGAAGCTCGGAGGATTTTGGCATGCGGAGGTGGAGCCTCCTGAGGCGTGGATTCCCGATCGCGAGGCTCTGGACGCCCTCACGTGTGTGCAGTTGCGTGCGGCGGCTCGGACCTTCTCGGAATCCACGGCCCAAAGCCTTGACGGCTTTCACCCACGGCATGTCGAGATGCTCAGCGACACAGCGCTCGAGCAGCTCAGTATTATTTTCACGTGCTCGGAGCGCCTCGGCCTGTTTCCTGCCCAGCTCCTCTGGCTCCTCTTTCCACTGCTTGAGAAGCCGCAAGGCGGCTACCGCCCAATTTTGCTCGTCGCGTCCTTTGTGCGAGTGTGGGAAAAGGCACGCCGCCCTCTTGTGGAGCCCTTCCTGGAATCGTCTTCCCGCAAGTACTGGTCCTTTGGAAAAGGCAGGGGAGCTGAGGAGGCGGTGTGGCATGCGGCAGTCCGCGCTGAACGTGGCCAGGCTGTCGAACAAGAGACGGCGGGGTTTCTGTGGGATGGCCTCAAGTTCTATGAGTCGTTTAACTTGGAGCTCCTGCGTGATCGTGCGCTGGCGTGCGGGCTCCCGCGGCCCCTAGTCAAGGTCCTGTTCAACTTCTGGAGGGGGCCTCGCCTGGTTCGACTGGGAGCCCATCACTGTCCTCTTGTGCAGTTTGCTCGCTCTGGGTTGCCAGCTGGCGACGTGTTCAATGACGCCTTCGTGCAGATCTACCTCCTCGGGGCCCTAGATGGGTTCGTGGCGCGGCACCCCCGCTTGGACCTCGGCGTGTACGTTGATGACGACTGTGTTTCCATGACGGGCCCCCGAGAAGACCTCGTACCAGCCCTCGTGGAGGCAGCCCAGGACCTCGTCACCGTTTATAGGGAGGAGCTCCAGGTTGGCCTTGCCCACGACAAGGCGGTGGTCTTTGGGTCTTCCCATGATGTCGTTCGTGAACTCGACCGACGGCTTGCTCGAATCGGTGCTCGCTCAGCGGCTGCTACGACCTCTGCCACTGCGCTCGGTGCCGACTTTGCTCCTGCCCGTCCTCGTGCTGCGCCTGGTGCTACGTGTCGGATGAAGAAACGGTTTCGAGCTATGAAGAGACGTGTTGGCTTCCTGCGTTCGCTACGTCGACGGCTCTCTGTGGGCAAGGCCAAACTTCACAAGATATATATATCTGGAGTGCGCCCTGCCACTACGTACGGATCACTCGTCACTGGCATGACGGAGAGAGAGTTGTTGGTGTTACGACGTGCCCTCGTCCCGTTCCGAGGAGGCTCGCTACCCGCTCGTATGCTCCTGTATGATGACCCAGCGTGGAAGGTAGCAGTGGCGCCCGTCATTCAATATTCCAAGGCAGTATGGAACTCGATTGTGCATCCTGATCGTGTTGTGCTATCGTGGAGGTTCTTGCAAAAGACGTGGGATGCTGTAGCCGTGAAGTATCCAGTCTTGCAGCAGTCGCAGTGGAATAAGAGTGCTGGCCCCATTCACCGTGCCATGTTGTGTTTGCATCGCCTAGGATGGAAGTTCACCAACTTCAAGACCTTCTTCGATGACAACCAGATAGAGCATGATTTGTTTTTCACCTCTCCTGCCTTGCTTGCCAAGCAGTTGCATGCTAGTATTCTCCGCCATCATGGCCGTAGCTTTGCTGCCACTCTAGCGCAGGGGCAGGGACAGGAGGTTTCCGCAGATTTCATTGTCAAGGCTGTCCGTTCTAAGAAATTCTCGGCGCTGCAAAAGCATGTTGTAGCCTCTGTCTTTGCTGGTGGCATGTGGACCGAGGACCGCCTTGTGCAGCATGGCTTTGAATCAACAGGTCTTTGCCCCTTGTGCTCCCAGCCCGATTCAATTCATCATCGTCTCTGGTGCTGCCCTGCTGTGGCTGCTGCTAGGGAAGAGGCGACGTCGGCAGAGATTGTAGCAGATGCGCGCGAGGAGCCCGGAGATCTTCTGTGGTCCAGGCTCCTGGTGTTCCAACCTCGCCCCGACGAGTTCCCTCCTCCCTCCTCTGAGTTGTTTCCTGTCTTCCAGGATGCCCAGGGCAACCCTGTGTCCCAGGAGACCTTCCAGGAGCTCAGCGCGGGATGTGATGTTTGTGTTGACGGTAGTGCAACTCGAACTGAATTCGCCCGTCTCAGCCGAGCGGCTTATGCCGCTGTCTTTCTGGAGAATTCTGAGCAGTGCGAAGTCCGATGTAGGATGCAGGGTGTGGTGTGGGAGTCCCTACCCCAGACGGCTCCGTCTGCCGAACACCTTGCCCTAGCTATGCTTTCCATCTTCCAACGGGGCCCAGGGACCACGAGGCCGTTTTCCGATTGTTTGGGCGCTGTGCGCTTGACTCAAAAGCCTGCCCTCGCCCAGCTGAACGGATCCCAAGTTTTTGCTGGTCTGCGCCGTGGTGCGCTCCAGCATCCAGGACACACACATATTGGGTACGTTAGTCACACCCGTGCCCATCGCTCTGAAGATGTCATCTCTGCGCTCCCACCCGATGAGGAAAGGATCGCGCGTGGCAACCAGTTGGCCGATTTGTTAGCCAAGGATGCCCTTTCCCTCCACCCCCGTGCTCCTCCCGCCACCTCTGAGTTGCATGGGCTAATGGTCAAACGCCTCCGCGCCGCCATTCGTGTGGCGGCGGCGGTCCTTCCTGCTTTCCCCCTCCCATCCTTTAAGAAGATCAAGGTGCCGAGCATAACGCGGGTTGTGTCGTGGCACGAGTGGTGTCGTGTGGGGAGTTGGAAGTTGCGTTGTGCTCGGTGCCTTGGGGCTTGCCCTGAGCATGACGAGCGCCCTCTCAATCAGTGCTCAGGCCCCCCTCCGCTCCTTGTAAAGCTGCGTGAGTGCGAAGGGGTGGGCGGCCACGTCCTGAGGGCGTGCTGGACAGCACGCGATCAGGTCCTAGTGTATTGCTGTAAATGCGGGGCCTATGCGGAGGAGAGGTCGAGTGGCGCCCTCTTCAAGCCTTGTCGCCCTGCCTTGACGCCCCAGCGGGCGTATGACCGACGGCGCCTGGAGGCTGGGCTTCACCCGCACTCGCGTCGCCGCGAGGAGACCCTCCAGGCGCCGACCCCTCTCGAGTCCGACCTCATTCGGCGGTTGGTGGGTGGGACGGCTGGGTGGGCGGACGTCTCCTCCTCCTCCTCCGTCACTGCTGCTCTCATTCGGAATCCTCGAATGGATGCGCTTGTGGCCCGATTGCAGGCCAAGTTTTGGCAGTCGTCGACGGGCTCGTAAGTCCTGCTCGGCGCGGGTCGGATTCGAGTTTTGCCGCCTTTTTGGCGTGTCGGATCCGTCCCTCCGTGCCGCGTCGGCTGCCCGTCGCCGTACCGTTGACGTTCCTTCTTGTTTGGGTCCTCCTCCTCCTCCTCCTCCTCCTCCTCCCCCTCACTCCTCCTCCTCACTCCTCCTCCTCCTCCTGGGACGCAAAATCATGCACTATGGTGCTAGGCGTCCTCCTCGGAGGCGTGCGACCGACCTAGAACTATCTTGAGAGCGTTTTCTTACTCGGCGTTTCGACATTGGGCGGAAGGGGGGGGGGGTCCGGCTCCAGACCCCTGCTCAGTGCGACTGTTTGCAACGGTGCGCCCATTATGGGGGAGACACCTCCTGCTCGAAACAGGCGCCAAAAGCAGCCAAGATCAACTCCATGGGGGGGGTGAGGGGGGAGGGGGGGGGGGTGCGAGGGCCGGCGGGCCGGCGCCGATCGGCAGAGCGATGACTAAGACAACGGTCGCCTTGTAATGCATCGAGACGCGCCAGGCCACCGAGCATCTACTGCAAGATCTCTCGGCGCGCGCGCGTCGCCCCTGGGGGAGCGACACGCACACAGCATTGGCATGATGGGATGGCGCCGACCGCACGCTACCTTTGCGACGCCAACCGTACCAGGATCGTCGGTGCGCACAAGGGGGCAGGGGCAGGGGGAAAGACTTCTTGGAAGGAGGCCGCTCCTCACAAAGGCGCGGGCCTCACGTCACGAGAGAAGGTCCGCGCCTTCTGCGAAGCAGGGTCTAAGAAGCCTTTCCCCCCTCCCCCTACCCCCCCCCCTAAACCCACCCTAAACCCCCTCCCCCTTCCCCCTGACCCCCCCCTAAACCCCCTCCCCCTAAAACCCCCTTCCCCCCTCCCCCTAACGCCCCCCCCTCTGCGACGCCAGCCGTGCCAAGAGGGAGGGCGGGCCCTGTCGCGCACGGGGGGGGTGCTCGGCCAGCCTCCCCGACGCCTGCTCCGCCGCCAGCGCCCTGGCATCGACCGCCGCCACCGCCCTGCTGGCCTCGCCGCGCGGGGGGGGGGAAAGGGAAGTTTCGCCGCAGGCCCGTTGCCTGCGGCGCTCGGCCCAGCTCGCAGTCGCGCCTGCTGCCCGCCAGGTCCGCGTACACGAACTTGTAAGACAAAGGGGGGGGGGCAGAAGGAGGATGAAACCTATGACGGGCGGGATGGGAGGTGGGGGGGTGGGTGGGGGACGAGGGAGGGAGAGGAGGAGGAGGAGGAGGAGGAGGAGGAGGAGGAGGAGGAGCAGGAGGAGGAGGAGGAGGAGGAGGAGGAGGAGGATAACGAGGAGGAAAACGGGGAGGAAACCGACGAGGGGCACGAGGGAGGAGCAGGGGAATGATAACGATGAGGACGATGAGAACGATGAGTAGCAGTAGGAGAAACAACATATTTTGGCAATGTCAGCACTTAAACGCCCGGCCACACCCCCACTGAGAATGGGTGCAGCCGCCAAAAAGTTTAGGCCGAACTGAAGGAACACGCGGGGCACCTGTGCAAGCCCTGAAGCGCCCACGGGCGACCAAAAAATATGGGATGACCTCCCACCCTCCCCGAAGCCACCGCGCGCTGCGAAACCACCCTGCCGCCGAAGACTCAACATCAACTCGATCCGAGGCGACCACCCGTCGTCCGAGATCGGCGCGGTCAGCCCCCATGCCAGGGTGAAAGCACAAGAGTAGCAACAAGATGGGAGGGCGGGTCCCTCCCGCGACTGCGCCTCCCACGCCCAACCAGCCTGAAACTAGAGCGCGGCGGCTGCTGCACGAGAGCGGCAGAACAAGCTCCCGATGCAGCTGGCTGATCAGACCAGCGCGTGGCGCGCGTGACCCACGCGGCAGGCAAAGCCATACCGAACTAGTCAGGCGAGTCTGAAACAGCGCTCTGCCTGCTCGCCTGTCCTTCGGAGGGTGAAGCTGCGGGCCTCGCGGAGCTTCCGTATTCACGGAGCTCGGGGGCGAATCTGCGAAGGACCTGGCCAGGGCTTTCTTCTTCCTGAGAGGGGGCTCAGCAGCAGGAGGAGGAAGAGGAGGATGAGGAGGAGGAGGTGGAGGTTCGTCTAAGCCCTCGGCCGACCAATCAACATACTGCAATGTGACAGCCTCAAGTCTCGGGTGTCTACCTCTAACAGTTCTGCTCCAACTAAACCTTCGGCCCCGCATGCTGTCAACGTTTTGCATTCATGGCGAATGTGCGTAAGTGTAGGCGCCCTGTGGGCGAGGCCATTGCCCGCTGCCGCAGGGGGGCCCCGCGCGCACGGCGACGTCCTGGGCCCGCTCGACGCGCCCGCGCCCGCGCCGGCATTCCAGGGGCCGCATTCCCGGGGCCGCGCGTGCCACGGCCGCGGCCTGCAAGGGCGGGCATCTGTTTTGCAAACATCGGACCTCGCCCCCCCCCCTGAGAACACGGCTGCAAGGGGTGCGGTGCATACTGCCACGGGAGAGCCGTCCGAGCAGTCAAACAGACGGGAGGTCCTCCGAGCGGAATCCCCGAAGGCCGGAGGTGAAAAAGCCTGTTTTTTTCACCCCCGGTTTTTTTCACCCCCGCACTCTTGACCTCTTGCTGCCTTGCTCGCGCGCTGCACGGCACGCGCATGGGACACCGCAGCCTTTTGGCCCAGAAGAGGACCTAGAATCCGAAACGCGTCGCCAGCTAAAAGTGGTTTAGATCGGTAATACACCAAGTGCTCAAGCTCGGCGAGCGAGACGCCTGGCTTCATTCTAGTGTTGGTGATAAGGTTAGCTGCTTCGGGGGCTGAGGGAATGCATCGATTTCGGCGAATGTCGTCAGTGTTGAGGTGGTTTGAGGGGGACGGGGGGAGGATTTGGTGGATATGCGGTGGAGATTCGTCTCGTGGACGTGTTGTATGTCAAGATGGTGCTGATGGCGGGAAAAAATGAGCCGTCCGTCCTGTGAGGACGGACGGCACACTTCTTCCCGGTCGAAGGACGTAGGGGCCATACGTCCGAGCCGCCCGAGTTGCACGGGGAGCTATCGTGTGCCCCAAAGACGCGAGGGCCTCCGAGCTGAATACCCGAAAAACCGTGGGCCGAGGACACATGGAACAAGGGGGGGCGGGCAGACGCGACCCTTCGAGACAAGTCGAGCACTGCCACACGACGCGGATCCTGACCTAGTTGTGGCAATCACGCCCACGCGTAACTGCGACAGACTGCGGTTCTACCAAAGGCACATCCGACAGATCAAGAGGCGGCCAGGCGGGGAGAAGCTTCGCGGCCAACTTCGAGGGGGGACGATGGAGGCGGAGGAGGAGGAAGAGGAGGAGGAGGAAGAGGAGGAGGAGGGGGAGGAGGAAAAGGAGGGAGGATAAGGGAGGATGGGGAGGAGTGAGGAGGGAAGAGGGTAACGATGTGGAGGAGGAGGAGGAGGAGGGGGATGGGGATGGGGGAGGAGGAGGAGGAGGAGGAGGAGGAGGAGGAGGAGGAGGAGGAGGAGGGTCCGTAGCCAGTTTGGCTCGAGCTCGCAACGGTGGCTCAGGACTGGAACTCTCCTGGCACTGGGGAGGGCCGAACCGACCACTTTCCGGGTCGCGAGGCTAGGCTCCGCAACGCGCTTCGGTCTCATCCCGCGCGGCCTCCGCGAGCTCATTGAGCACTGTGATGGGGTAGCAAGGATGTTCTTCTCAGATTCTCGGCCCGAAGCAGGAGAGCCCAGATTGGAATCGACAAGTCGGATCGGCGTTTGAAATTATTCGGATCGACGGAAATCGGCAGCCGAGTCGGGAGTAGTCGAATCGGCGGAAATCGGCAGGTTGGTAGGCCCCCGTTGAGACATCAGAACCCACATCGGAATCCCAAGTCGAAATCGAATCGGAGGAATCGAAATCGAATCGAACCAGAAGAATCGAACCGAATCGAATCGGAGGAATCGAAATGATCCCTGCGAAGGGACTTCGTTGGTCGCATGGGAAGTGCAGTTGGAGTGAGCACTGGGCGTCGCGAGCTCGATGCATCTGCGGGGCCTCCGCTCCGCCCGACGTCGTCCGCGCCGCCGGGGCCGCCCATGGGCAGGCCGCTGCTGGTGGGGAAGGGCCCGCGTCGCCGAGCAGTTCGGGCAAGTGGGCCACTGGGCCATCCTCCTCCTCCTCCTCCTGCTCCTCCTCCTCCTCCAATGGCCCATCCTCATCCTCATCCTCATGAATTCAAAGATCTGCCGAAGCTGGCCCAATCCACGTCGAAGCGGCTGGCGCAGCTCAGCGGGGTGGGCCAGCGGCCCCAGCAGCTCCGCGCGAGTCCGGCGGCCCCATTGCCACGGACCGCGCCGAGGAGCGCTATAGGCGCGCCTCCAGCACGGGCGCAACTGCTCTAAGCATGCCGCTACCAAGGCCGACGAGCAGCTGGCAGACAAGGTGGTCCAGGAGACGCAGGAGTTGGTCACAGCTTCCAGGCCTCCTGAGGCCGTTCAGATGTACATCTCTCAGCGCCTAGGCAGGGCCAAGAGCGCGGGGGCCAAGGCACGCGGGCTGCTGGCATCGCGCCGCGAGGAGGTGCAGAAACAGAAGGAGGCCTTGGACAAAGAACTCGCCGAACACGAGGTGGCGGCCAGCCATGCCGCTGCTGCAGCGCAGGAGCTGCGTCGCAGCTCCAGCGCTCGAAGCCAATGGCATCGCGGGCGAGCGAGGCGAGAAGGCAGGCGCGGGCTTCAAGGCGTGGCTCGACGCGCAGAGGGTTGGCGGGCACCTTGAGATGCGCATCGGGCTTCTGCAGGGGCAAGTTCGGGCACCTGCTGGTCCTGTTCGCGGGCCTGGCCCTGGGCCCGAAGTGGGCCTGCCCGCGGGCGAGTCCGACGACGTAGTAGAGCTCGACGAGGGCGCCCCCACTCAGGCCGAAACCGCAGCTGCCCGAGCCGCCGCCGAGTTCGCAAGGAGTGGCCGGCCCAGAGGCGCGCCAGGCAGTCATCGAGCGCGCTGCCCAGACGGCGCTCAGAGGAGCCAATCTCAAAAGGAAGTACCGCAAGTGCAGCTCCTGACGGCCGCCGCCGTGAGCGTGGCCGAAGTGGCGCGCTGGCCGAGGCAGCGACGCGGCGTTTCTGCGCAGGGAATGACAACGTGTGGTCGTGCTCGACCTACCGTAGCTCCTTTCAGGCGGCGTGCGATTGGAGGCTCGAGAGTTGCGAGCACCCGACCCCGCGCATCTTCGCAGTACAGGAGACTAGGAATTGAGCAGGGACCGACAGTCGCGCATCTTCGCAGTCCAGACCACGAAATCTTCTTAGAACCCAAACATGTTCTCAGAGCAAAAGCAATTATCTTATAACATACACCCGATGTGCTAAAACAATACGGTCCAAGCCAGACACGTTCTAAGAACATGTCGTGGAAACCACAACAAGTTCTTGGAGCATTGTGTGGTAGGCCTATAGGCACGGCAGGACGCTTCGCCACTGCTTGAAGGGAGGGCGAAGGCGACAGGATGCGTGCGCTCTCCAGCCGGCTCGCCCAGAGAAGCGACAAGGCGGCGGTCGCGCCGTGCAGTTCCAGAGGCAAGAAACACCAACTGTTGATTGCTGCTGGTGCGGTGGCGGGCGTGTCCGGAGGGGAAGGAGGACGAGGAGGAGGAAGAGGAGGAGAAGGAAACGGAGGAGGAGGAGGAGGAGGAGGAGGAGGAGGAGGAGGAGGGGGAGAGGAGGAGGAGGAGGAGGAGGAGGAGGAGGAGGAGGAGGAGGAGGGGGATGGGGTAGGAGGAGGAGGAGGAGAGGGAGGGGGACGGGGACGGGGAGGAGGAGGAGGCGGAGTAGGAGGAGGAGGCACGTGACCTTGGCCAACTGCGGCGTCGAGGACCTGCGGGGGGCTCTCGGACCTCTGGCGCGAGGGCGCGTGGCTGCGGTCAGGTCTGAGGCAGAGGTGCCAGGCGGGCATTGTGAGGGTTTTTTTATTCGGCGTTTCGACATTGGGCGGAAAGGGGGGGGAGAGGGGGGCTCCGGCTCCAGACCTCTGCTTAGTGCGACTGTTTGCAATGATATAATGCTGCCTCGGGGGGAGACTCCACCCGCTCGAAAGAGGCGCCAAAACGCAGACAAGATCTACTCCAGAGGGGAGGGGAGCTCGCGCCGATC